GGAATTCATTTAAAGGCATTCTCAAAGATAAAACCATTAACAAAAAAGGACAAAAACTTTTATAAAAGAGTAAAAAGAAATTGTTCGTATGTAGTTTTTAGCTAATATTAAATACATGATTATAAAGTGTATTTATTTTTCAATTAATTTACAATTATTTTTTCAATGCTAATATTGCATTCTTTTTTTTTTAATTTTCATCCAAGTTTTTTACAATTAAAAATTATAAGTATGCGTGTACGTACATCTGTATTTAAATCAATAGGATATAGTTTTTAAACCATAAGCAAGACATTAATTTGACATTTTACAAAATTGATCTACCGATTGTTTTTGTTGCTTAGATATAACAAACGTGAAAGTATAAATCGAGAGAATTTTTTAATAGATCGATTAACTTGATTGTTAAATAAGCGAATAAGCTGTTTTTCATCCTCAACAATCTATTTATTTAATTAGGAATTCTTTAATAACACGAAACCACATATTAAAAAAAGGAATTTAATACAAAGTATCAATATAATACGAGTTTATTTATAAATTCATAAAATTATTAATATTATAGAATTTACGTAATAGCTTGTCTTTAAAAAAAATTGTTTCATTATACTTTTTTTGCATAAAAATTATAATCTTTTACCCTCATTAATGTACTGTTCGTTGAAATTGGTATATAAAGGAAAATCAATATTTTTTATAATATACAGTATAACATAAAATATGAGTTATTTTTAATATATTAAAAAGTTGGACCCGCAGATAATTTTTTTTGTTTGTTTATTTTGTTTTGAATAAAAATTAATGAAAACAATTTTGATATTATCAAAAGTTAATAATAATAAAAGAAATATATTGTAATTTTTACTTGTATGTTTCTTGTTACTTTACACTGTATTTTATAAAAAGTTTTGCATTTATTCATTTGTAATTTTTTACTTCATCGTTGAATATGTGTAAGTTGTATGTTTCCTGAAATAAATAAAATGCATTTAAGTAACTTTTAATGAGTGTCAGAACTTTATTTAATCATAAACAAGAAAATTTCTTTTTCAAGTTGGTAATAGAATTATCCTATCGTAACTTTTCATTATAAGGAATACTTTTTTTTTATTTTCATATATTTAAACTTTTATCAGTGTATTATTGAATTAATAATTCTTTTCACCTAGTTATTTACAAACCCATTTTGATTATATAAATACAGGTACAGTTAAGTCTTTACTAGCGCCATTTAAAAAGAATTTTTAAAAAATAATCATAATGGATGTTTGGCATTAAAGAATAATTTTGTCTAATAAATAATATTTAGAATTTCATTAAAATAGTAATTTATAACGTAATAGAATATGGAACATTATTTGTAATATTATTAAATTAATGAGTAAATAAGAAATATAATGTAGATATATATATATGTGACATATACACCGAGTATAAAATTTTGAGAAATATTTTCTCAATATGAACCAAACCAAATACAATTAACATAAATTGTATTATTTAATATTATCATGTGTTAATTTATCCTTTCGCTATTATTTCGATGAAATAAATTTGTATACTCCTACATAACAATGAAAGAAGCGCATGACGTTTCAAATGGAGATATTACGATATAAATGAAAATAATAAATAATTCTGTATATATTAAATTTTTAAATAAATTATATTTTATTGCAATATCTAAAAATGCTCATTTCTTTAAGATTAATATTTTATTACGTACAAAAAACACTTAATCTTTCATTTTATTTCTTTCAGTTGTAAATTTAATTTTATTTACAAAGAAACTTTTGCTTTCAGAGGATTAATTCTTCAAGTGTTATCGTTTGCCATTGTACATTCAGATTCTGCTATTGAAAATAATATAGTAAATTTTGTGCTACTGTGAAAAATATTTCAATCAAGCATTTGATTAAAATGGATAGATTTAAATCAATATTTTTCAATGAATTTATAAAATTATTTTATAATATTAATGATTTTGACATTAAATTGCGACGATAATATCGTGAATTATATATATATATATATATATATATATTAACTATTACTCATAATCATTGATACAAAATTTATGTTCATTAATTACATAAAATTATTCATTTCTACTACAATTATTGAGATTTATGAATTTAATCTTTATCGTATATGGTTCAGAATAAAACAATATTTACTCATTATTTCAAATAAGTTACAATACATTATTAAATTAATTTTTAAGTGTTTAAATACAGTTTTATAATATATCTATTGCAAACTTCATGTAAAATTGAAAATGATAAATATAGTACTCTATATACTCGAACGAAATTCAAATTGTTTTACTCTAAATTACTCAAGATATAAAAATAGAATGAGCAGGTGTGATAAAAATTTATTAAACACACAAGAAATGTTCATGACTTTTATACACAAAAAATTGCACATACTTTATTTTTATTATATTTTACATAATTTCACATACAAAGTTTAGTCGAAATTATTTTGTTTTCTTTTTTTTTTTTTATGTATAAAAGTTAAGTACAGAATAAGTTCTTGTGTATTTTTTTCTATTTCCATAATTACAGAAAACGTTAGTGCAGTTTTAATGATAAACAATCATTTATTTTATCAATCGCTTTATCTCCTTTTTCACAATAAGAAAAGGAAATAAATTATTCATTGAATGATTTTCGATTTTTGTGCCTTTGACAATTTGATTAAATTGTTTTTTTTTTTTTTGTTTAAACAAAACGTCAACACATAGTACGATAATCTGGTTATAATTCATATGGTTGTACAATATTTATAAAATACACATAATTTGTAAGAAAAAGAGAATTCATTAAATCTAATTTTATTTTCTTTTTTTTAATAATTTCATAAAAAAAAAAGAAAAAAAAAGAAGAAAACAATGTAAATAGAATTTAATCAGTTCAAATAAAAAATCAGAAATTCTATGTTTTATAATTTCTCTTTTTCTAATGTAATTAAATATCAAACGCGCATGATTACGTTAGAAAATCGTTCCGACTCGTTGCGTTCGTGGAATGTAACTGAATAAATGAAATAATGAACTTTTTCAAAGGGGATACATACAGTTCATTCAAATCTTTTTGTAAAAAATAATAAAATTTCTGGCATTGAAATATATATTTATAAGTATTTTACAAATAAGGTCAAGATTTATTTATTTAACGCCTTCGATCAATTAATCCTGCAGTATTTGTAAATGATATAAATAATCATTGAAAATAATAAAAATATTAATCTATTAGATATCAAATGAATTAATAAAACTTTTCTTTATAAAACATGTAAAATTGCAATTTCTATACCATAAACCTACTACTTTATTATTATATATTTCTTTTATTAAACAAAAATAGTATAAATCTTTTACATTAAACTATATTTACCCCCTTGGCGGTAAGTGTTGAACACTGGTCTGTACGTAACAGATTATATGCATGAAATAAGAAAAGTGACAGTCACAGAAAATCTAAAATTTATTAAATAAGTGTAACTCCTTTTGGCGTTTAAATAGATATAGATTAGTTTCGGTTTATTCATATTATATATATATATATATATATATATATATATATATATATTTTATTTTTTTTTTTCGTTAAAATTAACACTCGGCGCAGCATCTCGTTAGAGAGAAAAGTCTTCGATTAAATATTAATTTCTTTATTATTCTCAACTAGCGAAGAAGACTTGAGACGAGTATTTCACGGGAGAATGAAACTAAACTTAAATATACCTATGATTATTCATCAGTTCACCTGACGCGCAAAATTGCGATTGGTATCATGAGCTAGTAATGTTGTTATTAATGAAAAATAAATAAAATAAGCCCCTTTGCAATAGTTACTCATAATTATTACTATAGCCCATTATTTAGCTTGCATATATATTTTCTCTCTCTCTCTCTCTCTCTTTCTTTCTCTCTCTCTCTCTCTCTCTCTCTCTCTTTATAATCGCTCTTGGTCTCTCTGAAATAGTCTTCGAGTTTAAATTTGACAAAAACAAAAACAAAAACAAAAACAAAAAAAAAGTCAAAAAAATTGAAATTTCAAATTCTCATCAAAATTTATTTTATCTATTTTTAAATTAATGAAATTTCACCTTGAATTTCGTCTATTTTTTATGATAGATCTAAAATTTGAAAATTTTTTTTACGCACCTTAAAATACAAATTAATAATATTTACAATAAAAAACCAAAAAATTTCACGATTATTTAGTTACAATTTTAGATGTTAATTTTCTGAATTTTAGATCTAATCAAAATAGTTAAAATTTGAAATTTCAACTTCTACTTTACGAAATTTAAGCTTGAAGGCAGCTAGAGATATGTAAATAATAATCCTTAGTTACTACGAAACAAATAATTTTTATACATCTTCCTTTTAACAAATGCTCATATTTCTATCCAAGCATTTTCTTCCTTCGGATAAATGACACATAAAAATAATCTCTAGTTTCCAGTATATGGTCTGCTTTAATTTTCTTGCTTTTACAACACGTACATGGAAGGAAGTGTTCGATAAAATATCGTCACGAATTTTTATCTAAAATTTGTATTTCGCAATCACACATCTGTATCTTAACCAGTTGATGCGTTCAATCATCAAGACGTGGTAAAAATTAAAAAAAAAAAAAAAAAAACAAAGGCATGTACAAAAATTAAAAGCAGAATTACACCGTTACACCGGATGTTTAAACTTCACGCTACCGCTTCTTCCCACTTTATTACGAGATTATTATGAACACTCAAAATGTATTGGGAACTTTACAAGGGAGCGAAGGATATACATAATATACATACATGTTCACTTACTCATTCTTGCATTCTTTCATTCTTTCTTCATCCCTCGCGCGCACAGTCGTATTTACCGATTCATTTACACACACGTGCGCTGCAAACTACAACGAATTTACAAGCTTCCATTTGTTCTTTCGTGGTTTTTTTTTCATTTTTCCTTTTTTTGTTATTTTTTTATTTTTTTTTATTTTATTTTTTTTTTTTACAGTATTCGTCTCCCTATCAATTTATTTTCTGAGTAATTAACCGATCAAAATGAACCCTTTTACCAAAGTTAACAACTACTTCCATTTGTAACTATGAAAAATCGACGACATAACTATTTTATATACCTTATTTAACCATCACTTATCCATTGTGCTATTATTCATAATTCTTTTCTTTTTTATGTATGTTTTTTCCATTCTGTAGAAGGAATTTCAACGAATTGTTTTATTTTCCATATTCTCATATAGGCACACGCGACTTCGTTTTTATACACATATCTTGCGGCACTATAATGGAATTGTTTTATGAAGTGGTGACAGAGGTTCAACCACTTGCTCATAACTTATGATTACTGGTCAGCCACGTGAGGCCTTCGTAAAGTCCATCTCCCGTTGTGGCACAAGAAGGTTGCACGTACCAATTTCTATCTCGTATTCGCGTCAGTCCGAGCTTCTCCTGGATCTCGTGCGGTTTCATAGCTATAAACCATAAGGGTGAAGAAATTTTAATTTCTTGTATAATTATAATATTGCTTATGGTTATTCAATTCAAGACTTTTAATTATTTTCTCCATCGATGTATGTGCTAAGCGAATGTTTTAACTTAATTTTCAATCGCTAATGATATCATGACACAATTTTATTTACTATTTACTTTAATATCTTTTGAAGAATTAAAAATACTTAAATAGCTTCAGAGCAAAGTATAGACATTTTCGTCGAGTTATTTTCAATATTGCTATATTTGGAAAACTGACGCAAAAAGTAAAAAGACTGCATAATAAAAAGAATAAAAACTAATAATAATAATAATAATAATAATAATAATAATAATAATAATAATAGTAACGCACAAGCATATTGAAATTTTTCATCGCGTGCTTCTTTTCTATGCAAAAAATAATTAAAATACAAAGTTATTTAAATTAAAAAAATCGAAAATGTTATGTAAAGTATTTACAAACAATTAGTAATTGTTTACTGAGCGTAAAGTCGATATCTTAATAATATTAAGTAAGTTGATATAAATGTCAAACCATTTGCGACTCGTTTATGGTGTAATTTAAAAAAAAAAAAAACTTATTTTAAATAATTTTAAAATACTATTTTTGATTAATACAATTTTTCATCACAGTAATTAAATGTTATTAACGTCAATATTTGAAACATTCATATAGTGGGTAATAATTTAATTGAAATTAATTTTAGACCGAAATATATATATTTATTAATGCACTTAAATTACATTACATCACAGAATTTGTAAGAAGTCAGTGCAATTTTAATAACAATTATACGTAATATATATGAGTAAATTTATGATCTTAATAACGTTCAATTCTTTTAATAAAAAGTGAGTTGAATTATAATGATTATTTTTATTAAATTCATTAAAGCTGAACTAAATGATTAATTGAAATATAGAAATACTAAAAGAAAAACTTAATCATAGTCAATTTAAGTCAATTTAAAAAAATTAATAATTTCAATTTTAGTATGTAAATTATATATTTTTTATTTCTAATCTAAAGCCAACTATTCATCACCATATTAACATTTTTTTATATTTATACTTAAAAAATCATATTTATAGTATATTGTTTATATTCAATTGCAAATAAAATTGCAAATATTTTACATTAATATATTGTACAACGAAATGTTTGTATTTTATGAATATTTTTATATACTTTATGTTATGCCCATTGCGAATATTGATTATGTATTGGATAAATGACATTATATAAATCTGAATAACTGCTTACTATTTATTAAGAATTAAATACAATTCAATAGTATAAGTAATTATAATTATATTCAAGTAATTGGATAAATAATAATTGTATATAAATGTCTATTAATCTTAATGAAAATTTTTCAATATATTAAGATGATGGAGTAGTTACAATAAATCCTTCCGAGTATATTTAAAAAATTTTATTTTAGTTTTTACTAATTTCTAATTAAACTAACTCTATGTTAATATATAAATTAATGTGGCTTATGAAGTAATTTACATTGGTAGTAAAGGAGTATATATAAATAAATATTCATAAATATACATATATATAAAAATTAAAATAAATTGTAAAGCTAATATCTGTATAGTTTTCAAACTATTTCAAAATATTTATAATTCAACATTTAATAATTATATTTTCAATTATATCACGATAATCTTTTCTCACCTAATTAAGTGCGCATTAAATACTTTATAAAAATATTTATTAAATGTTTATTAAAGTAGCAAAAATTTTATTAATGATAGTGAGAAGATGCTATTTACCATCTGGAAGATCCTGCTTATTGGCAAAAATAAGGATAATGGCATCTCGCATTTCTCTGTCATTTATAATTCTATGTAATTCCTGTCGAGCTTCATCAATTCGATCTCTATCTGCACAATCGACAACAAAAATTAATCCTTGTGTTCCTGTATAATAATGACGCCATAATGGACGTATTTTATCTTGTCCTCCTACATCCTAAACAAATAATAAAAATAATTTTAGATAATACATTAATTAGATTGAAATCCAATAATTATCAGTAGTCTATCAAATAAGTTAACGAAATTCTTCAATTTCTGATTAAAAAAAGTAATAATACTTTTCTTTTAAAATGATAGAATATATAATATCAAATACACTTACCCACACATTGAATTTAACATTTTTATACGTGACTGTTTCCACATTAAATCCTACGGTTGGTATAGTCGTCACTGACTGTCCTAATTTAAGTTTATACAAAATAGCTATTACATTTTAATAAGGAATAATATTTTTATTTGTTTCATAAAAAGAAAAAAAATAAAAAAAAAAAAAAAATAAATATCAGCCATTTTTTTATCAATGTTAAAATTATTTCTAGTATATAGATTAATTTATTTGTAATTTTTTAAACTCTCCTATACTATGTCTTCATTTTAATCAATCTGCCTCCACTCAAAATATAATTATCAATGTTGTCAATGTGAGTATGTAGGAGTAATGATAAATCCACATTATCAGACCAGTTAACCGGTCGTTTAGAAAAAACTAAAAATAGCTGTCACATCTGATAAATCTAAATTATTTCTTATACTAAATTATGGCATAAGTAGCTTAAATAATAAATTGATACATTTTCTGCAACAAAAATAGATAAATAAAACAAATGCCTTTGAACAATAATTTTCCTTTCACAAATTCTGTTTCAAACTTGATTATTATCTAGAATAAATATGTTTGTTCTACAATATCAGTGTTTGGAATATTTTACTTCTTGCTCATAAGAAAAATTTTATAGGAACATATCTTTAGAAGGAACCCAAGTTTCATGAAAAAAAAATTTAACTATTTTAAAAAACTAATCATACTTATTTACATGTTGTGTAATTAAAATAAAATACTCCTCATAACATCAGTACATTTTTATAATTTTACTTATATAAAGAATAGAAGCAAATATTTAGGCTATTTTTGTTATAAGTAGACAGTAATTTCAGACATTGTTAAAATATTAAAAGGATACTGGTTTTGCCGGCTGCATCCAAGCCCAGCATGAGAATGCGCATTTCCTTGTTGCCAAAGATCTTTGACAAGAGCTTGCCCATCCTAATGGCAGACTTCCTACACAGCTGGCACCTAAATCAATATTGTAAAACTTAATCGTTAATGCTTGATTGTATGATTGATTTATCTATCAACAGGGGAAATATAGGTTTTGTTTTTTTCAAAAGATTATTCTTTGTGGCTTATTGTATCAACAAATAATGTCCAAGCAATAAAATTGTATAAGTAAATATTGTTTATGTATAAATATTAAATTAGATTTACTATATATTAAGCAATTTAATATTATTGGGAATAAAAAATTATCATACTTTAAAGATCTTTTACAACAAAGAATTTATCTAACATACCAATAATCAAAGATAATACAATGAAACTAAACTTGTAATAAATTATGTTTATCATTTATCTATGTCCTTGTAATAATTGCAACAATTTGGACAAAAATGATTAATTGAATTTTTTCAAATACCACAGCGATAATAAATATTTTATTTTATATCATACGGCTACTGCTGTTGCTGCTTCGATAATTTAAAAAAGCAATAGTAATAACATATAATCCTTTATTTATCGTACAAAAATATATAATTTGTATTAGATAGATACGATAAGACTTGATAAGATATTATCAAAAAATTCAGTAATAAATTGGCTAAATTACTGTATAAAAAAAAGATGAAGGAAAAATCTTGAGAATGATTCAGTAGAATAAAAAAAAAGGTTCTATATGCACATACATATTTTTAAATAAAGATTTCCATTAGTTTATTCACCAATATTACCTTTTCTTATCCTACCGTTAAATAGTCACTGTGTAAAAATGCAACAGGTGCCGTAAACTATTTCTATCAAGCCGATAAAAAAAGTCATTTATTGTGCTGCATTGAACATGGATCTATGACACCCATACCAAGGAATTTCTGATATGCACTAGGTATAAATGGCGAGACTACGTATGTAATCGACACAGAAAGAAGAAACAGAATATAAAGGCCGACTTGACTTAATGCACAATTGATTTTACAAGTGGGTGTGGATTCTTAATAGATGTCACATCCTGTTTACAAGCATAAGAGAGTCGGTAGAAATTCCTTATGACTTACGGAGCTTATGTCGTTTAAATGCAACAAACAATATCAAATAAAATTATATACATATCCGAGAAAGATAAACGATGATGACATACTTTTTACATTGGCACTTTTTTTCTGACACTCCCTCTCACTTTGGATTGAGGTTATAGTGAAATTTTCATACAGAACTACTACGAAAATTTAGCGAAAGCGAGTGAATACTCGTATTGTTTACGTCAAGCCGTCACCCATTATAATGATAATACATTTTTAAAGGCTAAGAGTCAACCATCGATATAAAGACAACGTGGAAGGGGTAACCGCAAAAAAATTGAGAAAGAAGAACCGAAGTGTTCCGAGTTCCGAGCAAATATTTCGCCCGGCAAGAAGGTTAAGTAGCTTGCGCGGTACGTCGTTCCCTCTCTCTCTTTCATTTTTTTTTCCCCACACGAAGACGATTCGGTGAAAGACAAAACAGCTTAGCTATTTGGGCGCGGCTGTACGTACGAGTGCAAACATACACGGTGACACGCGACGCGAATTAAAGGAAAGTGAATTTGGAAGAGCGTGCCAAAGAAATTAAAAGCTAAACGTCACGGCGCTCGCATTCTGAGGCGCAGAGGTAAAAAAAAAAAATCGTTGGACATACAATACTTCCTGCTCGTGTCAATGTGCGAGAGAGAGAGAGAGAGAGAGAGAGAGAGAGAGAGAGAGAGAGAGAGAGAGAGAATCAGCATGGCGCACCGTCCCACTAAGTCTATATATGCACGTTAGAAATGTATGTGGACGCGTGTGCGCGACGTCCGCCTCACGGACCTTCATCAGCCATCCGCGCAATCCTCAGTCTTTTTTTCCGTTTGCTCGGTGGAACGAGAAAGGTGACGACGCATTTTATTCGATAAAGTGGGCTTCTTTCCCCCAGCTTGCGCTGCTTCGCTCTTGAAACGTGAAATCCGCGGACGAGACAGCTCGCGGGAGGGAACGAGAGCCACTTGCGCACTCACACGCGCACGCACACAGATGAGCAAACGTGCGATCTCGGTACTCGCCCTTCCATCCTCCGGGGTTCTCTTTACGTCGAGCCACGACACAACTCACCAAATAACATGGACGAGGCGCGGCCGTGTAATAACGATTTATCATCGGCGGCACTGCACATCACAACACATCGTCGTCGTCGTCGTCATCAACATCATTATTATCATCACCGTCATCGTCATCGTCATCGGCATTGTCATCATCATCGTTGTTGTTGTTGTTGTTGTCGTCGTCGTCGTCGTCGTCGTCGTCGTCGTCGTCGTCGTTGTCGTTGTCGTCGCTCGTCTCCTCGATGTTCCCAACTGGCTGCCGTTGCAACTGCCGCTACAACTGCTGCTACAACCACCGCAGCTAATGGCTTTTCGGTTGTTTCGCGTCGGCGCCTCTGTGAGGCAAAACATAGACCCCGCGCACGGAGTAGAGGGCCGAGATAACGAGGAGGTGGTGGAGGAGGATGAGATAGAGGAGAAGGAGGAGGAGGAGGAGAGAGAGGAAAGAGACGCGAGGATGAGACACGAGACACGAGTCCACGCTCGTTCAGCGGTGACGGCGACGGCGATAGCCACTGCTCGCGCTTACACGACTTGACCAAGGATGCGGCGGGGAATCGGGGATTCGGTCGCTCTGCCACCGGCGATTATCATAACGGGCCTCGTTAACGCTACCCGCTGCTCTGCACTACTGTCGCTCGACTGCCGGCGACGTTCCTCCGCCGAGCGCTGATAGGGCGACGCCGCGGGCCCTCCTGCGAGACTGATGATTTCTTTCAAAACGAATCAGCCACCTCTCACGCGATGGAGGGATTGCGAATACCAAGTGGAGGCCAGAGAGGCCTATGACAAATGACAATGACCCGCGACGGTAAAGAGAGAAGGAGAAAAAGGTGCACACTCTGCTCGCTCGTCTGCTCGTCGTCGACTCGACGAGCAGCAAATGGGCAAACGGGCTGCGTAACGGTTCTCGGGTAAATTGACTGTCCCTTACCGTACGTTGCTGTAATTATCGTCCTTCGGCGTCTCATTATGGCCATTGCTTTTTCGCTTACAAATTTTCATATCACCCCTCCCCCTCACCCACCCACCCACCTCTTCACCCCATCACGCCCCACCCGCCGCTCACCCACTTCTTATCCCCACCTTACCCCCGCTCGCCACGTCGCTTCACTCACTCTCTCATTTGCTCACTATGCCCCTCCCCCTCTAGCGCCCATCAACTAACTTACCCATTATCTATTCATCTATCTATCTGTGTATCTCTTGTGTAACGATGCATTCCTTATCTAATGCAGCAATCCATGCATTTTGACGCGTACGATAAATCGTATTTGGCTCAAGTTCAATTCCAATTTTATACAATAAAAAAATTTTCTGTTTTATCTTAGCTTTACATCCATTTCATTACCTCCTAGCACATCGAATCCCTTAACTTTTTACTTAAAAATCACTTGTATCGCATTTGAGCATAAAAGTCAACAATCACGAATGCTAAAATGCAAGCGTCCAATTTTCTTAATTAATATATATTACGTACACTCGCATATCTGCAATTGATAATACAAATTTGAAATTCAGACCCAACTTTCATTTGTTTGTTTATCATTCAAATTCAACTTTCATTCGTTTGCATTCCATTCAAATTCAAACTTTCGAAATATACAACGTTTATTTATTTAGAATAAGATATTCTTTGTTTGTTCTTTTTTCTTTTTTTTTTTTTTTCTTTTAATCAATTATCTTTATGAAAAACTAGATATTCATCAATAGTGATAAGACATAATCATAATTTTAACATGTAAAGGTATGATTCTGTCTTTGTTTCATTTTAACTTCAAGGTGAATTTTATTAAATTCAATCGAATGATGTCATTTCCCGATGCTTCAATAATATTTGTTTCTCAGGCACTAATTACACAATTTTTTTTTCTTGTCAAACTTTGAGAAGCAATTTTCATATATATATATAACATTATAAAATCAGAATAAACAATAAAAATAAGCTATTTCATTAATTAATTATATGGATAAATTGAAACTAAACTCGCGAGGTCTTATAAGATGTCAGATTAATACAATATCGTAAATAGAAAAAAATCTATCGTCTATCGACTAGAGAAAAAAATAATATTACATTACATAAAAATGAATGTCCTATTTATTTGAAATGAGGCGATTGAACTTCAATAGAAATAATTTTCCAATTGAGAGTCTTAAGCACGCTTTAATAAAGTTACGTAACGTCATTCTAATGTTTAATAAACTAAGAATTTTTATTCTAAAGTATTATATTAGCAATATTATATAAAAGATGCTTTTGTACACATAAACAAATATTAATGACTATTGCAAAATAACACGATTGTTAATATCACTTTCAGTATATATTAGAACAATAATCATTTATAAATTCATTTGTATATTTTGAGTATATTTTGATTTTTTTTTTTTTAATTATTAAACAGAGATTATACAATATAATGGTTAACAGTTTACTGGAACTATCAAGATTTAATTGAAAATAGTCTTTAAATTTAAATAAAACAATTCTTATACATCCAGTTATTCATCAATGGTTTATTTTTAATTATAACCATAATATTGTACCATCATAAATGAGTAAATACATTTTATATTTGCTGTATTAATTATTTTATACTTTCATTAAAGGTAAATTAAGATTAAAAAATTTTCTAATTTATTACGACTACTCTGATGACATGCACGAGTCCGTTTAACCGCTTATCGGATATTATAATAATATTCTTAAATTCTTCACTACACCATGTATATTATTTTTTATTATGAATGACAAAGTACGTTTGAATTTTCTAATAACTCAAGCCTCTAAAGTAATAAAGTCTAATACCGCAGTGCAATCGATTAATTACATTTTTAAGTACACATTAAACGTACATTTTTTTTTTAATTCGCGTTTCATAATGAATGCGCAGCATGCAAACTCGGCGTGGAATAACTGTTTTTTTTTTTTTTTTTTTTTTTTTTTTTTTTTTTAAATTAATTACTACGGACATGCTGAGATATAAAAAATTTATTTTAAAATCATACATTTAGCACGCGAAAATGTGTTTAACAGGTAAAGCCAATAAATAATATTATTATCCTATTTAGATTATACATTTTACCTATACATTTTATTTTAATTGCGGTATAATATTATTATAATTAATGCTTTAGATGATAGTAATTATAATAGAGTATGTAGAAAAAATCATTTATACCAAAGTCAACACGTGCGCAAATAAATGTATGGTGTAAATAATTATATTATAGTTATTAATTTATAGTTTAATCAGGCAGTACCATAAAATAATTTTAAATAAAAATTGCGTTAGAATTAAGTAAATCGATACTGTTATTTATTTTCATATTTGACCAGATACGAAACTATGAAAAGATCCTTTTCTTTTTTTATATTTATTGCGCGAATGTGATTTTATTGTCTTCTTGCTGAATATTTTTAAGATTTTTAGTAGCTTAGCTACTAATAGATCTACTACGAATAGATCATTAAGATGAAATAATAGTATAATATAATTGTATATAATACTAAGTAAATTAATAGTAATCATTATATTTGGGGGTAGCTAGATAGATAAATAAATAAATAAATAAATACGCAAGCAATTCATTCAAAGGGTGAATGTTTTATTATGAGTTACGTACAAAATTCTTATAATACTCGTGCTCCTTATGTTCGATACTACGTTGTCGTAAACATAATTAAACATGCGAAATTCCTTGCATTTTCATACATAAAAAAATTTATAATATAATTTTCGAATCTTAAATCGACCAAAAAGTGAATATGCAGTAGTAATGAATTTTTTTTAATTTAATAATTTTTTCATAAAATTACTAGCACATCTAGTTCTTTTTTTTTTTTTTTTTTCTTTTTTTTTTTTTTGTTCATTTGAAATTTTTTTCATACTTACAGCCAGACAATTATCGCTAATTTAATGTATAATGTGTATGTATACGCTGTAGTGTATACCCATGTATATTTTCAGTATTTCTCGACTATCTGATATGCTTTCTCTTTTATACACCAATCGATTTTAAATACAAACGAGGAAAATCTACTTCCAAAATAATTCTCACGGTAAGACCGAAAATACTGATTCACGCTAAACGAGAGTAGGTAGCCTTTCTCAATAATTATTTTAATAACATTCAATTTTTTTTTAATTTTTTTTTTATAGAAATTTGATTGAAGAGCGCAAATGTTATATTTCCTTCATGTCCGTTATTGTAAATTTCGTTGCAAATAAATTAGATTTATTTATTGTATGGCATTAAGCGATCAACGCATTAATTGCTGTATATCATGGGTATCATCATTCTTCAAGAATTTATAAAAATCGAATTAACTATCAATTCCCAAAATACTCTTTCAACGACATTCTTTCATTTCTGGCATTAGTTTAAAAATTCGTTACTTTTCTGTTTTTCTGCGATATACATCACCGTTTAACATGTCCAGTCGATTTATAACATTTCCTAAAGCCGTACAAAAATACTTATCATTGTCGTTCTTAACATAATTGTTTAGCTTTTCTTAAATAATTAAAAGAGAGAATGAGTATATAATTTGTATAGATCTGAATTTGTTCTCTTCATAAAAAAATAATAAACATCTCAATTTTTTAAAATCCTCTTTGTTATTATCATCGTCGTCGTCGTCGTCATCATCATCATCATCATCATCATCATCATCATAATCATCATCATGATATTTCCTTGTTCAACATATGCCGTTAATTAAAAATACGCATTAAAAGTTTTGCAGCAATGATATTTCATCAATTATTGTACTCTAAACCAGAAGTAAAGTACAAAATGAAAATTGTAAAGTAAATAAGTATAGGCGTAACAAAATGTAAGGCGATATGTCAAATTTATAATTATTATGACGCTTTACTTGTATTTTAATATATATATATATATATATATATATATATTTACATAAAACGGACATTATACATAAGAATGACTAAATTTTTCCTTTATTTATTAATTGTCGTTTTTCAGTTTTTAAAAACTAAAAATCTCATTATATTCCAAGATAAAGTATCGATTCTATTTATTGAAAGTAATTGTTTTTCGATAATTTTCGATATAATATCCATTTTATCAAATATATATTCAATATAAATTGTGATAATAAGCGTTAATTTGAAAAATTGAAAAATAGAAGACGAAACATGAGTAAGTATTTTAACGGTCAATAAAATGCTTAAATTGAGATTTATATTTAAGAGAATATATATCAATATGAAAATACGATATGAAAATTGAATAATGCAACTTAGTCGATAGGATAGGTTAATTTACTTTTACAATTTATAGCTTTTTTTAGATAAAAGTCCATAATTATTCATAAGCCTTAATATTTTTACTATCGTTATAATAATGTTATACAAAACATCAAGTTAGTGAAAATAATCAATAAAGCGAGAGAGAGAGAGAGAGAGAGAGAGAGAGAGAGAGAGACGAATGAGTGGTTGAGTGAGAGGAAAAGTTATGAGGAGTATGAAAGATATACTTTATGTTCGAAAATGTACTAGTGACCGACATTATCTAATAATTGACTGGATTAAAAATAAAATATACTTTTCTTCATTCGCCAATACTAGCTTATCTTTGTAAGCAATTTTCAATTTTCAAGCAAACACGATCATATAATTTTCTTAAACAAAAATCAAAACACCAAAGATTTTTATAAACAGTATGATTTTCAGTTAAGTCAAGTTAACACACGATAGCTTTAAAGTCTCGTGACTCAATTCTAAACTTTACGCATTAATAGAGGAGTTATTGGCGCGGTTCGGCCATTAATCCTCGCTTTCAAAAAATCGAAATTCTCCAGGTAAGAATGTAAAGGCGCTCGCTCGGTCGCTTATCGCCAGTCACAAATATTATCTTTGCACACCCCTTGAAACAAATAAAAGTCCTCTAAAAACCGAAGTGCACTGCTTCGGGCGTTGCTATAAAAAAAAAAAACTCGAGGTCGCTTAAGCGTAAATCTGTAGCAGTATCAAAATGGTAAAAATCGTGCAGATAACGACGAGAAATATTGGCAGGACGAGGACGAATTTGATGGAGCGGCGCAGGCCGCTCGGCCCCTGTCATACGCTATCCGTGGCGTCGGCGATCACGGCCGATTCGAAAAGTTGGCGCTCGGACGTAGGCTCGCTCGCGAGCTGCGTCGTAGTCGTCGTCATCGTCGTCGTGGTCGTCGAGGTCGCCAGGATGCCGGAGCAGGAGCGCCGCGACTTGTTGGAACTCGAGAAGCAGAGGCAGCCGCCGCTTGATTGATTGCGGTTCCGTTTCAATGTTGGCTTGCTCTCGCGATCCTGCTCGGCCAAACATTTCTGGTAGTAGTCGTAGTCCTTGAGATACCTAGAGTCAGCGATTCAGCAAATTAGAAGAGTTAAGAGCCTCGAGACCACTGGAAAGCTGCCTCGCCGCCATTTTCCGCTTGACGTTTAGGCGACGTGCGCGTTTGTTAGGATAGCATGTTGGCATTATTTTAGAAAGTTCGGAAGCAATTTATGCAGTATTATCCGTTACGAGCAATATACAAGGAGACAAAATATACCGTCGGAAAGGACGATGGTACATCGACGGCGGTACTATCTTAACACGAAATGTCTTGTATTTTCAATAATTGCAGGCTCTCTCGATTTCGATGAAAAGAGCCCTATAATGACTTGATATTTGATTTTTATTTTAGATGTGTCAGGAAATTCAGATAAATATAAAAAATACGATGTTTTTTTTTTTATGGAAACGCGTCCGTTTGAGAAGAAATTATTAAGCATAAGTAGAGATAATTAAAAAGTGCTATTATTTAATAAAAATTCTATATTTAATAAGATACGGTTTTTTTTTTTATGTAATTGCGCGTATCTTTATAAAGTAAAATTTCTTTAACTCCAAAATTAAGGCGTGAGATTATCTGTTGAGTACAAAACAAAAAAAAAAAACAAAAAAAAAAACAAAAAATAAACATAATGAAAATTTCAAGAATGACATTTCGTATCATTTTCAAAGTCATTAAATTTTATAGCCCTACTAACTTTTATAATAACTTACCAAACAGGAGGCCAACGATTTTCACTTAGATATTCCTGATTCTCAGGGTGCAGGAGTCGTAAACTACGAGGTGACATTTTACAGAGTTTATTGTAATTGACGCATAAATGGTTCATGCACCAATCGGCGAGTTGGTCTGCATTATGCAACTATAATTACAATATTTTCTTATCAATATATATCTGTGTTCGTAAAAATTTTACAATGTACATATACATATATACATATATATATATATATATAATACAGACTGGGAACGTTTAATAAAACAAAGTGATTTTAAATGCATAGTTACTAATATATTTGTTCAATATCTATAGAGTTATTGTCATATTCTCATCTATCCAAGTAGTTCGTATGTGTATTAAAAAAAAAAAAAAAAAAAAAAAAAAACATCTAAATCTAATCATGTTACGCGTATAATTGCGTAATACTTCATTCTAGATAATTTTCAGTTTATTGCACTTTTATTTAAAAATTTAAAACAACCATTTTATTTAATTTTTAACTAGCGATAAACTTTATCTTCTCCAACATAATGTTCATAAAGAATGCATCTTTATTGATTTTTTTCTTATCGATATATTACGCGACATAGCTCGACGTAATGAACAAAAAATTGTTATAATAAACGACTGTAAGAGGAGTACCTACCTTACAGGGCTCCAATAGTCGTAAACAATTTTCTACAGCCTCGTTTCCATCATTTTGCGATAGTCTGTCCAAATCCTCGATAACGCGATTTTCCACAAGATTTACCAAACGTGGTAAACATAATCGATTAGCCAATTCAAGGAGATTCAAGCATCGGGCGGACGATATTGCTGGAACTTCGTCCGTGTATAGATAACAGAGGAGTTTGTGGAATGTATATTCACGAACGCCAGGAAATACAATCTAAGTGAATATAATATTTAAATCAGCAATTAGGACATTATTTATACGGTATTTTAGTACATTTTGATACGGTGCATTTATAAGTACTGCATATGGATAAAAGCTGTGCTCGCAAATAGTTAACGAACAATGCATTATTTTCATTTTCTTTTTTACACCTTTGGTTATCAAATATCGAATTATTTTATTAATGAAAAATTATTTTCGTTCTCGATAGACTTTTAATATCTTATAAAATGTATCTTATAATCGAAGATAAGGACATTCATTTTCATCAAACAGAATATTCCACTGATATTGTTTAATAATTTCATTCGCCATGATTTTCTAAATATTATTTTTATAATACGATATTACTTTACTATAATAAATAAACGTATTTTTTTTTTTTTTTTTTTTTTTTTTTTTTTTAATTTTCAGCATTATCGAGTATGATTAACAAATAATAACAAATAGCAATAACTTAGACAGTGTATTATTAATAGTATCAGCTCTGAATTAATAAGTGTTTTATGCAATGGACAATTTGTAGTTATATATTTCTTATTTTATTTTACAGTTATGAAATATTCTTTTTCAATAATTTATTATACAGATTATATATTATATACATTTTTGTTTTTTAGCCTACAAATTAAATATCAAAAAGTATTTATTTACCAATGCCGCCTCGCCAATACTTACAATTTTTGCACTGCTCTCGCGAAAATCACCGGAAAACATAGCTTTCATCATGTCACATCGAGCAGTTAAAATGGCTCTGTGAGCTGGCAAGCTGCCGTCATCCAAATCAAAAACTACATCAGCAAAAAGTCCTGAAAATTTATGATCGATAAAAAATTTATGTAAAAACAGGCGGCTTCGACAACATTGATAATGTAAATTCGTCAAGCAATATGCATTACTGGATACTATCAATCTAATATGGACCAGTAGAATAAAATGCAAATTATTTTATAATATTAATGAAAAAAAATTTATAATCCTATGATTTTCACTGCTATTACAACCAAATTTTGGGGAATTCGCGTTTTTTCGACAGTATTCGTTGAACGAGCTAAATTTGATTGTTCTAGATAAAAGATTTCAAAACAAATTAAAAATCTTATTTAAAAAATTAATGCGATTATCGTATTAAATAGAAATTGAATTTTAGTTTTATAGCTCACCTTGTTCGAGGCATAGTGTTTCGAGCCTTTGTCTCACAATTTGTTTGAATTGGTTATTCATGTCGCTATTCATGTATTGCTCTCGCGATTGCATATTGTCCAAAACCATTAGAAGCTGCGGTAGTTGCAAAAATTCAGCCGCTTGTTTGAATTCCTGTAAATGAAGATGAATGAGCATCGAATTTCATAAAGAAGTATATGATATTTTGATATATGTTAATTGTATATGATGATGTTAATTAATGTTAACTCATTATATTTTAATTCTTGCTTCTTCGGTTATCAAATTATATTAACTTTCAAACCACACGCACACACACACACACATACGCGCACACACACACACACATATATATATATATATATATATATATAATTATTGAACACCCGTTTTAAATTTATACATGTCAATTTATTGTTCACATTACTTTATTATTTCTCAACCTCACATTAACAAATTAATGTATTATTAATCTTCACTTATATTATAATTCGTATTTTTATCGTAATAATTAATTATTATATCAATAATTAACGTATAGTAGTAGAAATTGAATATTTAAATAGGTTAGTAGCTATTACCGATGAAACTTATTCAAATATATTATGAAAGTTTATTAATGAAAATCTTGTTTACATTGAAGCAATGATATTTTATTATATTTAAATTGTTTTTATTATTTATTAACTTTTGGATGAATATCTAAACTTCATACAAAAAGCAATAAGAACATGAATTTTTAAGATAAAAATTCTAATGACAAATCAAAAATGTGAACCAAACATTGATAAACTAGATATTTTTTTCTATATTTAATTAACAAGCAAATGTTGAATAAGTGTTGTAGATTATTAATATCGTGTTAAATCATACTGAGTTACCAAGCTTAATTTTTAGAAAAAAATCATGACAAATATTAATAGATATAAATCATACATCATAAATATAAAAAATTTTTAAAGTTACTCTTACACCATTTGTAAATCATATTCTAATGGTTAATATCATAGAAAATCTTTATCAATTCTTTACTAAGTATATTTAAGTACGTCTTTGATATAATTTTTTAAGCTCTAAATTATCAAATATTAGCATATATAAATAATCTTAATAAATACGATTTTACGAATTTTCTTAAAGATCAGGCATTTCATCGAATAAAAAAATGCATATTTCAATTCAGTAAAATTTTTTGCATAATATTAAAATGTGGATCTTTTATGCGACACTAAAAACATAATTGTAACAACTATAAAACTTTACTATTTTCATTTATTTTAATGTACCCATATACACGAAATAATTCCTATCGCTTGGAATAATTGTATATGACAATAAAAGAATAATTCTTTGTAATATTTGTCAAATAAAGCAGCCGCAAGTGAAATTGGATTTGGAATGCTCCTTCAGCGTATGTGTCGTATTGACGTAGCTTAAATTAAAAATAAGTAATAATGTTTGGGCAGATACATGTATGTGCATGATCGATGTATAAATAATGTGAAAGTTGATTTTGGACTATAGAAAACGCATATAAAAGTTTTAGTGCTTTACTCAAACTGAAACATACGTTATGCCAAGACTAGTTCTTGAGATTTTCTACAAAGATATAGGAATTCATAAATGATGAGTTCACAAAGATTTACTGGAGTAAATCAATGCTATAATAATATTTTTTAATATCACGTGACATATACTACCTATGCATTTTCGCTTACACGAATTCAATAAAAAATAAAATCCGTATAATTCATAATCTTATTTAAAATTTTGTCAAAAGAAAGAATCTTAAACTTAGCCATGAAAAGTATTTTTTGTGCTTCAATGCTCAATAAAGCTCGGTAAAAAAAAGTTCAAGGACTAATTATTTTTTCCTCTATAAAGATCGAAATACTTCCCATTCATAAAATAACATCTTTTTTTTTTTTTTTTTTTTTAGACAATATTATTGTACTTACTTTTATCAAATTGAATTAGCATTGTATTAATATTTATTTTACGGAGCATGGAATATTTAATATTCGCAGTATCGTTGCTCCCGTCGTGACTAGTAATGGACATGTAAGTCATCATCCTTGCAATCACAAGGGTTAACGAGATCCCAACTACAAATGCAGATTAACTGTAAATTACGCTAATCTTGCATTAATGTGAACTAGTCTTCACTTGATCAATACGCTTTTTGTTAGTGCCGTTTTTAGTCTTCGTACTCAAGGTTTATATTCTAGCTATTACTAATACGGCGCCACTTTACTCAAAATGATCCCGTTAAATAAACAAACAAATAAATAGATGGATATATAGATGGATGGATAGATAGTATGAATTTAAAACACCAATGTAAAAACATAATATGTATTTTTCCAATTATTAATATATCATTATTATATGTAATATTTATGAAATTTTTATTTTAATATTATCTTTAAAATAGATATTTTAATCCTTGATGTCTACTTTTTTTTTTTTTTTTCCAGCTGTTTAAATAATTGTAAGCTATATTTTATATTATATTTTATATTACTATTCTGTTTTCTTTTCTCTTTTCTAATATGTATAAGCGATAATAAATGTATATAAACGTTAGTCAATATAACATTATGCGATGATTAATTATCAACAAATCCCTTACGTGTGGTTTTTTTTTACATTACATACCACGATATCGTCTAACACATACATGTAGTACTAACCAGTCGAAGCCCAATAGGAGCTGTCTGAAAGAACCACAGTTATGTTAGTTGACTATCGAAATTACTCCAAATGACTTTTATTTTTACAGTTGAATTGTTAGTATACAAATACGAGTTTGAATTTTCTTTGTCTCTCGGTGAGGTGACTTGATTTTCAAAGTGACAGATGTTTTTTTAATAATCGATAGATTACATTAGGTTTTTCGGCGAGCTAGTTCATAAAGTAAAAATCCTTGCTTTCAACGTAGAGTTATAAAGATTTTAAAATGTATATACAATATCTTATCAAATAATAGAAATAAACATGTTGAAGTAAAACAAACATAAAAAAAAAAGAAAAAAAAAAAGAAAATGATAATAATAAAAAAATTAATATTGATATCGATAGCAGTTCGATATAATCTTTTGATGTATTAATTTTCCATAAAATGTAACATTCTTTTCGTAAGTGTCGTTAAGATTAATTTCATAATTTTAAAGTGTCAATCACTTTAACGAATAACATATTAAACCAATTATTAACTATAATTAATATTTTAATGCTTATTAAGAATCAATTAATAATTTTTTAAATATCAATCGTTGTTATATAGATTTACTCACTTTAAGATCGTGATAGCGCTTGTCGAAATTGCCTGTATAGATGAATTGTAAACACTGCTGCATCGATTGGCTTGTTATAAGCTTCGATAGAGTTACAATCGTTGCCTGATGATGATCTCCATTGCTATTTTCAATCTAGATAAAATAATTTAACGTGTTTTAATGACGTCTTGGTTAAAAGAAAGGTATCGCTCGAATGTAATCGATCGTATTCAACAATAATAGAGACATTGAAGATTTAATCTTATTACGAGTTATCAACACGATATGCATAGATTCATCTTTGATATGTAGAGTATTGGATTGTATTTTTGTTATACTAATCAATAATGTATTATACAAACAGTATATAATATATTGTTTTTAATTCATCTATGTGTATATTAATTCATTTGAGTATATATGCGCTTGTAATAGGACTAAATATCTTTATAAAATTACAGTATCGCAAGGAACGCAGTGAATGTTAATAATTAAATAAAATGTTATATGTACCACGACAATGCGAATACTCTGAAAGGCAGGATGATTTAGTTCTCTAACGGTTCCCATTGTTTTTCTTTGTGAGTCTAGTGTTGGTAATACTTGAAAGCTGGATCGCCGTTTAAGTTGATCCCAAACCCTCAAAAGGAAAGTCAAGTTCTCATTATGATTACGGTATATTGTAAATCATCCGATAATATTACAACGACGACAAATTACTGTATAGATAATTTTACGCTCAACAGAAAATAGTGCAATAAATTTTCACTTACTTATTGGTTTTATTCTGATCAATGCGAATTAGACATTCCGTGTCGTCATTGAAGTCACCAACGGTAGCCTCACCGAACGAACTGACCTGAAGCAACAAAAAACATGTATCTATTCAATGTTTAATTAGGTTAAATTCCTAACACGCATTGTTTCGTAGTTACTGAAAGAATTTGAAAAGAGTAGTGTGAGTAAATTTGTATTCGAAGCGCTTTTACTATTATTTTAGTGGCAATAACTAAGAACCTTCGCTAATGAGTTTTCGTTAAGCTTAATTAATAATATTATACAGGCTAATGTTATATAGGCATTGTCTCGATGAATTATGTAATTGTTGGCACGTAATGATGAAACTCGTAGTAGATAGCGTCAAGCTTTAAAGAGGTAAAAGCGATTGAGGTAATCGATCGCCAACATCAATCGACGAGAAGAATTATCATGTTAAAATTCTAATAAGAATAATGTCTGTCAAATAACCATCCGTATCATTGTAAAATACATAAAAATTAGCTCTGCGCCATTGTTGAACCGTAATTTCTACTCTTCATTAGGAGACCTTCCAAAGTGTTATCCTTTCAGTATTCGTTTGCTTTTCTTATTAGTCCACCATTATCTTTACATTGTAGTACCAAGCGCCAATAATACTTTTAGCCAAAGCTTTATCACGATTTATTGGTATATAGAACATTTGGCTCACAAGCGGCTTGTGCTTTAATAATAGCACAATTTTGGAGGTTGATGTTTATCGCGTTTACTAGCACTAGCGAACCAAGATGTTCCCTGCATAATTGCTTAATGCCATTCAGCATTAGGTAGAGAATTATGGAAAAATGTGCACGTTGCGCTTTTCGCACAATTCTCGTGAATATAAAATGAGTGTATAAATAAAATTATCGTAAGGATTGATTAAAGTATTGCGATAATAATTGTCTAGCACCCTTAATGTATAATATTTCGTTGCTTTTCCTTTTTCTTTCTTCGGCATCGCGTTCAATCTCTCGTCAAATTTCATTTATTAATAATGTGTCAGTCACGTGGTGCTACCGACCATATCTGCTTATAATCGTTAACTTACTTTTCTCGATCTTACCTACGTTATATATATACCTACGAATATATATATATATATATATATATATATATATAAGCTGAATTGATTTTAATTAAAATTATTAAGACTTAAATGTTGGCAATTGAGTATTAAATTGTCTAGAAATAAATTAATGAGCATACAAGTAGTAAATAAAGTCTGAAAATTAGCTAGTTTAATAAGACGAAAATGGAGCAGCCCTAACTATTCTAAAATTTGAAAATCAAGTAAAATGTTCTACTCACCATACTAGATTCGCTGGAACTTCTGGGCGTGTACTCGTGGATGAGCTCCATAGTGAAGAGGCGATGGAAAGCCGGTGACGCGGCTGCCAAGAAGCACCGGTGGGCTGCGAATGAGTAGTTACCGACAACGAGAGTCACGTCCGTGTGGTCGGGATGGGTCCACAAGGACTTGACGTTTTCCTCGTAAGTGCTCTGGGCCAAGCTGACCTTTGGTGGTATTGGTTTCGGCGGGCAGAATGGAGCCTAGTGCAAGCGTATCCAAAGTCGTCAAATGCAAAGTTATCGAACGGTATTGCTATCGTGCATTTATTAGTTTATCAAATGCTGTGCTTTTGAATAGTAGTATTCTTCGCGTAATTTAAAATCAATGTCGTATACGAATAGATAATAAATGTATTATAATAATAAAGGTAATAAATTATACTTGAATAACGCGAGTAAGAAGATAAAGAGATGGTAATGTATGAAGAGAAAAGAAAGAGAAAACAATTTTTTTTTTTTTTTTTTTTTTTTTAAGAGAAGCTTTTTTTTTAATCGAAGTAACAATGTTCAACGTTTTCTTCTTTCAAGAAAAACTTAGCTAGTTGAAGGTTAAAGGCAAATCGATTAAAGTTTACAATTTATCTTTTAGTTTTCAAGAGTTAGTTTTAATTGAAGACTTTCTTTCTTTCTTTCTTTCTTTCTTTCTTTCTTTCTTTCTTTCTTTCTTTCTTTCTGTCTTTCTTTCATTCTTTCTTTCTTTCTTTCTTTCTTTTTTTCTCTTCTTTTTATACATTGTCCAATAAAAATTCTTATGAATTTGGACCGAAATCTACTTGACTTTTAAATACCGTTCATTCTTCTTGAACTCACAACTGTCGTGATCTTATACTCTGGCCTCTTCGAATAATAAAATACTTTAAATAAATTGCATATCCATAGTTTGCTAGCTCGGTAATCCCACGATATTGTTGGCGAACCCTCACCTGAAGTAGCGGCCTCTTAACCCTCTTCAAATTCGTAATCCAGAACCTCTGCTGCCGACGGGCGATAAGCGCCGCCCTTATCGAGTTCTCGAAGACCTCGTTGACGCCGTAATACGTGAAGACGCTGGTTTCATAGTAGCAAACGCCGAGTTCTTTGGCGACGGCGCGTGCCTGGTCCGGCATCACCAGGTCACTCTTACGAGTAGCTCTGTTGGCATTTTGATTCCGTCAGGAAGATGGATATGGTCTATTGGATAATTATCGATCAAACGTTCGCCACTGGCTTTTCGTGATAATGATTAGAAGCGTTTTTTATTTGCTCAGAGGAATTTTTACGTGGCCGAGTCATACGATCGATCAAATACAAGTAGTTGTAGAAAAAGATTTATAGCATGAAAATTCATAGGAACATTTTTATCGAGTAACAAGAGAATTATGCTATGTAGCAGCTTGTTATTATCGTATAATTATTACGTGTATGCAGTAAAATAATATTGGTAAATTAAGCGATGCTTTTATAATTAAGAAAAAAATTAATTTATAAAATAAAATGTAAAATATCGATATAAATTGAATACATTTCCTTACGTTCGCTTCATCAATGATTTTATTTCTTCAATGATATTCAATTAAATATCGAGATTATTTATTGAATTAAGCTGCATTAGATGCATAAATACGTTAATTCAACGTTAATAACAAAAAGTATTTTGATATTATTATTCTGAATTATTTTTATGCTTGATGTTTCAATTTTATTAAAAAGTTATTATTAATATTAATCTTCATCTTCTTCTTTTCATCTTCTTCTTCTTCTTCTTCTTCTTCTTCTTCTTCTTCTTCTATCATTATTATTATTATTATTATTATTATTATTATTGTTATTATTATTATATATTATTATATATTATTATTATATATTATATTTGTAAACTAAGTGTTCGTTGATCCAAGAAATTTCTTGATTATTAATTGAAAGTGTAGAGTAGCTTTGAATTACGCGAGCAGAATATTAAAAGATTTCTAATAAAAATTATAATCCATCAGCACAATTTGAAGTTTTACTTTTATGAATAAACTAAAAGAATGAATAATATTAAGTATATCGATGAGTTATTGCGAGAAAAAAATTAAATTAAATGCTCGCGCGTGCGTGCCCTCACAAACACACATTATAATGCCTTATCCTATCTGTGTAGAGAACTTTGTAATACCCGAGGAATCCTTTCGCTCTTACAAAAAGGGAAGAAAAATTTTTTTAACAATCGTATTATAGATATGAAAAGTTCGGACGATTCGGATGAATCAATTTGAAAGATAAAATGAAAGGTGAAAGGGATTTATATAACAAGGGGCACGTGTAATCGAATTACCTGACAAACGGACTTCGATCGCGAAAGTAGCTGAGGTAAGCTTCGTCGCGATACATGTATCGCAAATCGTTCTTGCAGCCTACCAACAGCACCGGAGTCTGAGGACAAAAGCGACGAATCTCCGGGTACCACATTGCCTTGCAGTTTCTCAGCGACACGGGGTTCGTTATGGAAAAGCATAGTAGCACAACGTCTGACCTAAAGTTTTTGGACAAACAGTTGTATAGTAAGCGATGACGAACAACGGATCATCAATTTGTTGTTTATTTAATGGACATAATGTATTGAATGTAATTTGATTGAATGAGATCTTATGAGGAAATGTCATTGAATTCTCGAATGAATAATACACAAATGGTTATTCGTATTTTTGCTCGTAAAATCTGAAATCTAAAATGTCTATTGACATCTTGCCATTACCTGCCGTAGGCGAATCTTCGATCCTTCTCGTGATCGCCAAAAGTATCCCATAGTCGCAACGACACGTTCACATTATCAACAACTTCCCAGGAGCGCTCCAACACCTTGAAACAATTGGAAACAAAAGGAAACGTGAAATGGTCATATTGATGCTTATTTGTTCGCCTCGAAAATTATTCTCCTTCCATTGTGCGCCCGCGTTTATTTTTAATCATCGTTACTGTTGCCATCGTATTTGTTCGTCGTATGACTCGTGAACGACCGCCAGCTAAACTCGATGGTCATTGTGCTGATTTAAGGTTCCCCCATTCGGCCTCGTTACGCTAAAGTGTTCGTCCATTTAGCTGAGAGAATGCATGAAAAGTTCATTGAACGCTCCGGGCGGACATTGAGTGTCCAACACATTTGCGCCCGCTGTTATTATCGAGCTTGGACGATAAAAGCTCATCCGTCCGCTGCATCTCCGTCCCCGTCCTTTCAGCCCGACGATTTAAGAGTCATTTAAGAGTGACAACTTTTCTAAGTAACTTTTCGCTAACATTATCGCTAACATAACTAAGGCCAATTCTCAAGTACACGGGACGTCAAGTTTTGCATTAAATTAGGATGGCCCACATGAGACATTTTAATGTAACCTGTCCCTCCATATTAAAGTATAAGTATTTTTTAATATAAGTTGCCTAAGATCGTTATAGCAGTGCTTAATTAAAATGCTTAGAAAAAGGGGTTGATGATTAAGCTTAAATTCAATACTAATTAAGTAATTCTCGTAAAGGATCGTCTCATTTCCTAATCGTCTTAATAATTATCATATCGCGTTGATGAATTTTAATTGGCGCATAATAGCGCATTAGTCGTTTCAATTCCAAAGTCTGTTAATTTAGTTAAATATGAATTTATCAAGAATGCACGATAGTAAGAATTATTTAATATAAATTATCTAATGTAAAATGACAATCAAAATCAAAGACATTGAACCCGGAAGCCATTGCGAAGAAAGTTTTTTAACTTGATTGTACGCCTCTTTTTCAATTATGATGTATTATTGCTACATCTCCTTTGGTTTCGCTCTATTTATAGATGCCACAAGTGTATTTGGCTATTTAAAAACTCTTATTATTTTATGGTGACAAAGGACGTTGAGTTAAGAACTCTATTTACAATTTGATGAAAGACTTGAAAGAAATTAAAAGATTAGGCGTTAAATGGTTGCAATTATTTCAGGCGAATGTTAAACGTTTAATGAAAACGACGACATTTTTATTCAATCGATTGATTTTTATTGTTATATCTCATATAAATTATAAAAGTTTTTACGAATTTTAATTGTTAACCGTTTGGTAAAATAAAATGTTGAGAAAATAATTTTATAGATATGTAAAGATATTGTATTCCCTTCTAACAAATAAACTCATCGACACATTTAAGTGTAGAGTATTATAACTGGAATTATTAGAAAACTGTGTCGTTACTGCTTTGTATTGCTATATATAAATAATACGAAATAAGAAGTAAATAAGAATATTTCTTGAATAATTAATGAAAAAATTCAGCAAAATTTATGAATTCGCGAAATAGCGATGCAAAGTGGCATGCAATGAAAGTCAGGTCGTAGCAAGATTTTCGCGAACGTTGCCTCTCATCATGTAAATAATTGCCCTTTTACGCTTTAAGGTGTCTGTTAAAATTTATTATTTTACATGTAAATAAGGTGCGTCTAATCGCAGCTGCTTGCATCGTTGCTTGAAAATAAAATAAAATTCCCGTAAAAAAATTTCGGCTACAAACAACGGATTAACATAGCAATAATGTACAAATAGGGAATTAATGCGAGTAAGGATGAGATTAATACGAACATCCTTGTACATCCGATACTGGTCGATGGCCCAAACGGTGGGCACATGAGTGGTGAGCAGCTGGGACAGTGAGACGTGTTTGTTGCAGGCTCGGGCGCAGATCAGCCGGGTCTTCCCGACCGCCGTGTCGCCCACGACCACGCACTTGACCAGCTCTTGGTGGGGCTGCTCATTGTCCATCACCGACGGACGGCTCTCACCGCGTGGCCGATCATCAAAGCTACCCTCAGAGCTCCTCGCGCTACCTTAACAGCCGTCTTCGAAGGGGCCGCCTCACCGCTCCGATCCCCCGCGATTCGCTCAGAGAGAGGTCCTTGGCTGTCGTGCTTCCTCGGCTCGCCTCGACGCCGAACCTGCATTCGCCCTGGACACACGATGCTCGATGATCAATTAGCGAGATAACGAGGATAAGGTTAAGGGCTTGGCAATTAGAGTGCACTTATGGACTGATGCTCAAGAGTTCGAGAGTTCGTTTTTAATGCTCTTAGACGTGTCGCTCGCTACTTGTCCTAATCGTTTCGTCTATATCACTCTCAAGCTTTCGTTTACAAATTACCAATTCATCCCACTGTTTCATATCGAATTGGTCTTGTGGTAAGTTCGGAGGATTATTTGGATGTTATGTTAATTGATTAATGAACAAATTTCCAAACAAGTGAGCGAAGAAATTTCGGCAAACCTTCGGAAACGAAAAAAGGGAAATAGTCGATTAAACATTTTGATGACATTGATTACAAATTTCAATGCCAATATAATGTAATGGATAACAGCTGTCTTCTAGGGAAATCCGTATATCGATAATTCATAATATTTACTTGGTAAGATAAGTGGCAAAGATTGAGAGCGATCCATTTTTTCTCATTTTTTTCCAGCCCTAATTTTTTCTTAAGTTATAGATGCGTAAGTTAGTGTATTTATTGACCGAATCTTGGCTCAGCAAACTGTGCTTCATCAATCACATCACCTCAGCAAATTAATAATTATCTCCATAGATTTTGAGCTCTTGTAGTTCAATTTAATTTAATACGACGTTACGATAAAATAAAATGATAGAAATAATGAGAAAGAATTCATCGATTAAAATTAATATGATATTCAGAAAGAATATGCTATAAATGATTTAATAATTAAGCAGTGAGAATTTTATTAATTTGTTTGATAATTTGCTTTTGACAATGAGAAATTCTTTGAATCTAAATAATCAGGCAGAAACTAGAGATTACTACTTTTGCAACTCAATTTGAATAAGGATTTTATAAATTTATTAAAATATTTAGTTCGTAAAGTACCTAGTTTGGAAACTTACTCCGACTACGAAAGAAAAATATTTAATATTATAGAATTGTGTCGTCGATTTGCTTGTCTTTCAATATTGCTTAGAGAAACCTTACACCTAACATTGAGAAAGTATACTGTCGTTCCGGTTTAATCGATGAAATGTCGCAAAGCACACGTCGCGTTGCGGTAAAAGCAATATTATAGAATATCAACTCTTTCAAAGCCTTTGGTCCCAGAGAAGCAAATTTCTACATATTGCAATATTCAGATCCGAGCTGATTGACGGCTCCATTATAAGCTACCTGCAAAAATCTCAGAATTTCCTTTCTTTGCATTATTCATTAAAATCCTAATAAGCTTAAAGGCTTACATTAATAATTATATCTGTGAATTAAATTATAATTCTTGGGTGGCGCTGATAAAATTCGTAGGTTAATAATTCAAAACTTAAAACGGCCTCTTCTCCCTATAAGGCCGACAGAATTATCACAGTACGTTATATTGATTATTCTAAATATTAATTCTAATTAATAATTAAAACCGTTGTATAATTTTTTAACTAAAGGAGGAATTAACATCCCGTAATAGTGTATACATTTGAACAACACGTAACCTACTAAGAAGATCTTTTATACTATTTTATATATAGTTATCCTGAAATTTTCATATTTATATAAAAAAATTTTCTCAACGTTAATTCATTTTTCTCAATGTGAAATAATTATTAAAAAATTTAAAAGTAAATCTTCATTAAAAACGGTTTATATTCGATGCAGTGCGAATATTTATGTGAAAAGTTTTAGTAAACTTCGACGTAATCATATTCTGAATTATTTAATTCTAAATTGTTTTTTTCTAATTTCGCCTTTTCCTAATTACATCAGGAATAATGTATATTAATTTTACATTAATAAATAATGAGACGAAAATTAAGTTTTTAATTCACATTTAAAGAAACCTAATTTTTATTACTAAGATTTTGTAATGTGAAACCGAAAATTAGAATCTTTACGTATATCATATAATATATCATATAATATCTAATTTATTATATTATCGATTAGAAGAATTAAAAAAAAAAAAAAATACTACACCAGCGATTTCGAATTAATTTACTACAAAAAACAAAACGAACAAACAATACAATTTTATAGTGTTTAAAAATTTTTCAAAAGTTATTTCATATAACTTTCTATTGCATCCCGTATAATGCTATAATTAAATAAATCCTGGTTTATCTAAAAATTACCTTTATTATGTTACTAAATTACTTTTTTTTTTTTTTGTATCTCTAAACGCTAATTATTTTTTTTTTTAATTTATTGCTTGAAAAAGAATTTGAAAAAATATGTAATACCAAACTAAAATTTAGTATGATAATAGTCGATCACAATTTTGTGGTACATCCATATGTGATAATTAAGAAAAATATTATCAAGTTATGGTATATAGTGAATATAATAATCGTATTACAAATCATTTAATAAATATTTAATATAACGACCGAGCCTTTATCACTTAATGTATATTGCAAGTTAATGTGCTATAGTTTTTTTTTTTTTTTTTTTTTTTTTTTTTTTTTAAATGTTCATTGTATAATTATATACATATTAATTTGATATCGGTTAAATTTTCGAATTCCATTTAGTTGGGTATGCCGATTGTGAATTGTGAATTGATTGTGAATAGACCGTGAATCGTGCCACTTTGCACTTCTGCTAATGTCTCTAAAGCTTTATATGAACAATAAAAATTAAACAAAATTAACTCGAATTCGAGCTATCTATATGAAACAGTAGGAGATGTGGATGAATAAGGCAATTTGTCAAAGTGTCAAAGCAAGGGAAGAAGTCGCAAAGAACAAAGAACCAAAGCGTGACCGGGCCAAATCCACCAGGAAACTTCAATAAATCACACGATGGCGAGTCTGCCGACAGGAAGCTGCGCACGTCTGCATGAGTACAGGGGCGTTTTTCGTACTATATAGACTTTGCTTGGGTGGCGCATTGCAGAATGTCGAAAGTGAGAGAGAGAGTGCACGGGTCAACAGCACTCGGAAAAAATGTAGAACATACCATATCGATAATTTTTCATACTTTTTATTTCTTTTCAATCTACCCATTACTATTATATCAAATATTTATTTGCTCGTGTGGCATTTTATATGCATTACAAGTCGAAGGCATACGTTACAAGTTATACATTTTTTTTTCTCGCACGGGGATCAGCGGGGAGACGGGACATTCTATTGCACTTTCTCGTACTATATATCAAGATCTATCGAAACTAAGTTTGAATTTTATATTGAAATTATGATGATACTGTTATTATTTCATTTTTTGGTTTGCATATGCACTACTATGCTTCTAAAAATGATTAAATTCTTATAAGCGTAAAATACTTTTTGTTTGTTTCTAATTGCAATGTGCTTTATATTTTAATACTTTCAATGTTAATAAAACTTGTATTATAAACTTATTTCATATTGGCTTTCGTACATTGACAATATATATTTAATATTACAGTAATATTTATGAATAACATTCATAAAAATTTATGCATATTTGAATAGAAGCGATTAAAAATTTTGTTACAAAAAATTGTAATTCAACATCATAGATGAATAGAATTCAATCAATAATATTTTAATTACATCGTACAAACGTCATTATTTTAATAAAAATTAATAAAGTTATGTATATATATATATATATATAATATAAATGATCATTTCATATGACGTTTAAAATGAGCAAAATATTCAAGTAAAATAGTAGTTTTTATTAATACTTTATCAATGGTTAATTATGCGCAAAATTATTCAGAAATAGTGAATTAATAGTGTTTACAAATAACTTAATAGTAATACCGTGAGATATGATATATAGATAGAGATGTGAGATATGATAGATAGAGACGATAGGTATGAAAGTGAAAAATTTTTTCTTAAAAAATTTTATCCTACTAGGCTTACCTACTAAGTCTATCAAGGACTATTGCCAAAATAAAAATTTATAAAATCGATTTATAATATCACCTACTGCAAGAGTATATAAATCTTTCATTTAGACAGTAATAAAACATAAGAAATTAATCGATTCGAAAACCATTATGGAATAAAAATTGAAATTTTTTTTTTTTTTTTTTTTGTTATTGAAATTATTAGTATTAAAGTCGATTTTATCGACAAAGTTAGATGCGAAAACAAATTTGTGAGAAATCATAAACAACTTTGGTAAAATATTATTATATATACTTATTTTTGACCCTTTTAATATATCTCTATGAATGTAATGTCTAATTGGTGATGGAATATTTAACTTTTAAAAACTTATTTAATAGATTATTAATCATACTTTTCACAATTATATTAACAATTATATTATAACATAAAAATTTTAATTAATTTAATTTAAAAAAATTATAATACCAAGATCTCTAATAGTGCTGAAAGATCTGTTTTGCTGCCAACATTGCTAAACGAAAAACACTGCTGGCTATAATACCAAATCAGTCCGTTTAATCATACGAAGACTAATATATAAATCAGTGTTACTTTGGTCTGACTCGTTTCGGTTAAAAATAGGGCTGGCATAGCATTGCCCTAGAACACGATGATAAAATAGATAAATGTTTGATGTAATAAGAAATTTCTACAAATTGCCTGATTAAAATAGTTAACATGATATTTCGAAAACTGTACAAGAATGTGTGAAAAGTAAAGTGGATGTTACAAACTACTATTAGGCCATCATATTGACTAGAAAAAGGATAAATTATTATTTTGTCGATTTAAAAAGCAATGGTTTTTAAAATTTGCAAAAGTAAAATTTTTTTACCCTTGGAAACATGTGAGTACGCCAGGTTTGGTGGATGGACGCTTGTTACCAATCGTTATTAATAATTTAAACGTATATAAAATATCTTCAAAAGGTTTTTAAAAGTGATTATTATTCAGTATTGTATTATAAATTTAGCGACCGGAAGTATCAATCAAATAGAGACAAAGTGAGAATGGTAAACTAGGGAGGGATAATTGAAAGGTTGGGTGGTGGCGGTGGTGGTGGTGTTGTTGAGGGTGTTGG